GGACACAAGTCTCTGGAGCCAGGCACCCAGGGTACTGCTTCTGCATCTTTGCAAAGGCTTCCCTGAAAATGGTGTCCATGTTGGGCAAGCTTGGCACTGTCTTGTTCAAGATTCTGCGAGATTCTAAAGGTTGATCTGAAAGGAATAAGCATGATCAGAGATTTGGGAATGTTACTTAAACAAAGGGACTAGATTATACAATAACAATGATAATCAAATTCCAAAGTAAATAATATTTATTAATATATTTAATGGAACACTAATACCAAAATCTTAGTCATTGTTGTAACTAGTCATTTAAGAGAATTTAAGGATTCAAGACAATTTTAAGTTACTTTATTCGCACGTGAAAGTCACATTCTATTTTTATTCCAAGGACAAGATAATTTTATAATMGATTAAATATTATTGTGTCAAAGAGTCTAACACAACAACAGTTCTGAGATAATATCTRATATACAAAATAAAGTTAACTCAATTCTTATGACTAAAAAAACCTTTAAAACACATATAAAAGGGGCTGGAGCTGTGGCTCAGTGGTAGAGAGCTTGCCTAGCATGCGTGAGGCACTGGGTTTGATTCTCAGCATCGCATATAAATAARGGTCTATTGATAACTAAATAATATTTTAAAAAACACATATAAAAGAATACAGTGTGATATTGATGCAAGGGTAGGCATATATATTAATGGAAGAGAATTGAGAGTTCATCAATAAATCAAATTATGGCTAATTGATGTTTAACACAGGTGGAAAGCAATTCAGTGGAGGAAAGGAGAGTCTTTTGAACAAATGTTGAATACCYATATGCAAAAAAGATTAATTAATTAAACTCAGATTGTTACCTAGCAACTTCTGTAAAACCTCAAAATTAATCATAAATCAATGGAATGACTAAAACCATAAGAATTTCTGGAAGAAAACATAGGGATATATATGTGATGTTGGTTAGATGATGTCTTCTTATATATAGCACCAAAAGCATGATCCATAAAAGAAAAATAATCAATAAATTGAATGAAATAAAAATTAAGGACTTGCATTCTACAAGGGACCCCATTAATAAAATGACATGAAGATCCACARTGTGGGTGAAAAATTGAAGTGATGGGCAGGATAGTACCATCCCACAAATGTCTATGTCCCAATMYCTAGAACCTGTGAACAGGTAAACTTAACTGGCAAATGGAATTTATAGGTAGGATTAAGATTAAAGGTTTTGAGAAGGGGAGATTACCCTCTGTTATCTGGGTATACCAATCTAATCACAACTGTGATGGGAGAAATTCAACAACTAAGAAGGGCCTCTACCATTATGATCACTGAAAGAAGCCCGAAGCAAGAGATTACATATCATAGGATGCCATTTATAATATGCCCAGAAAAGGAAAATTTATCATAAGAAAAAAAACAAACAATGGTTTTCTAGGTCTTGGAGCAGGAGTCAGCAATAAAGAGCATAAAGAAACTTTTTGTGAAAGTGAAAAAGTTTTAAAATTGATTAACAGGGACAGTTGAAGAATACTGCACAGCAAATTAGGACTCATTGAAGCTGTAAAAGTAACCTGGAAATGAAAGAATTGAGTCAGGTACAGGATCTTTCAGAAGATAACTGTAACATTTTATAGAAGAACACAAAATCAAACCTTAGTAAAGAAARACCCCATGTTCCTGGATATACATATTTAATAATATAAAATATAAACATTTTCCACATATACTATATAGGAACATCTACTCAGAACACTTGTGGTTCTATATTTTACTAAATAATTCAACAGGATGAACTTAATGTTTACATAAAAGAATAAATGTGTAAACTCTAGGTATTAGAGAAATTATTTTGTCAACATGCCACTGTCTCCAGAATAAATCATTAAATGAAAAATGTACAGAAAATCTACAAGCACTTACAAGGCACCTCCATTAGAGAAAAACCTATGACTCTGGCACCATRTGTGAACATATATCCCCAGGGAGGGAGCCTGGTCTGGATGTCATCATGTGCACATRGGCATTATGTAATCTCATCCCTTGCTGTAAGCTACGAGGCAAGTCTATTTCCTAATACTTGATTACTTACAGTGTTGAGAAGAATGCTTTTCAATGAATGATGTCACATGGTAAGAGCAGCACTCAGAAGAGGAGCAAAGACAGTGGTTATTAGCATGAGG